AAACTGTGAAATTGTGAACAATAAATGTTTAGAACTCAAAAAACAAATTCGAAATTTGTTCTACACCACACATATGATAAGTAAAAGTAAGCAAGCAGTGTTTAATTTAATTAACACGGTGTGTAAATTTGCATTCATTATGAGAGGAAACTGGTTACCTATCTTAATATGCGCAAATTTAAACAAAAATTTTTTAGTGTGTGTATAATGAGCTAGAAATTTATAAAAAAATATTAATTATTACATAAAAAAAGAAATATAGCCAACACTGGTCAAGAAAAGGAGTTCCAATTATTGCCATCAATGCGAATTACAAATGCCGAAAATCCCGGGATTATTTTCCAAGAATTTTGGAACCTAAAAAACGCCGGGATCCCGGGATTAACATTCCTAATAAGGAGTGTCATATTCCCAAACAAAAAGGCAACGAAATTCCATGTAATTTAGCAAACCAAAAGAATTTGCAATGTGTATTTAAGAGTCATTCTAGCTTTTTTTTAGCTCTTTCTTAAAATTAATAGGCTTTTTTTAGCTTTTCATTTTTGCTCAAAATATTAACTGCAAATTTAAATAGTGTTGAAATGTTTAGTGCGATATGAAATAAAACAAGGCATGATATTTTATTTCGGCGAGTTCTCATTTAAAAAATATAGCCTCCTAATATGCATCCAAATATTCAAATTCATCTGCAACTAAACGCACCCCTTAAAAAGTTACTCAGGGGCACTTTTTCGCGCTTTGGGATACACCTTTTTTATGTCACACTATATCCCCCGTTTTTTCTGGATTCTGATTTGATATTATTTGCATATAGAAATATGGAAAAAGCATATATTGTATATCCGTATGCAAAAGAAGAAATATAAATTTTTTTTTTTTTCATTTTTGATATATATGTAAGGGTAAGAAATAGTTATCGATAAGGTCCGTCCCATGAATTATATTCAATCAACAGCTGTTTACTGCATATTTGCGTGTAAAATTTAGGAAATTGCCTTGGATAATTTTGGGCGATTTTTCCCTTCAAATCAATTTTTTGAGCGCTACCACGTTAATTCGTCGAAACAAGTAAATAGTACGTTGTGGAGTTAGAACTTTAGTTTTGATGTGGCAACACTTTTTATTGTAATCGATTTTATTTTAGCAATTCGAACATTTGCCAATATTAAACCGCCATTTGTGACAACTCCCGCTGAATGTGAAATTTGCGCGTAAAAACGGATCACGCGATTAATCAATTAAATTGACTTATAATAAATGTATTAATTGCGCAGTCCTATTGTCCTAGCTTTTGCTGAAAGGTAAATAAAAGCTCTCTGAACATTTTTAGCGCATAATTTCAAAAATGCAAAATTTTTAGTTGTGACTCTTTTGAAGACGGTGTGCGATATATGTATGATTCATGGACTGGCGCGACAAAACTTGTCCCATGTATCGCATGTGATTCATTGGATAGGAAACCTGTTAATAAACATAAACTAAATAAAATAAAAAATTTTAAAATTGATCAAAAAATTTCGGGGGTATTTCAACCCCAAAACCCACCCCACCGCCACCCCCCCCTTAAACCCACCACTGTTCTTCCATCTTAATACGATGACGAGAAAAAAGCCATCAAGTGATGTAAGCACCGATGTCCTAAGTGCCAACAGCTTGTCAATTATTAAAAATATGTCCTGTCCTTATCTTAATCAACGTTGTCAACATTCGTTGCTTGAGCTCACTTGCTCAATTTGGTGAATACCTCTAATATAATTTTCTTAGCAAGACGGTATTTCGACCTCAAGTATGAGATTGACTGGTCTACATATCGATATTGCCTGGTATAATGCATACATAAATCCATATATGTATACATAGGGTTTTAATATTTATGACTTTACAACATAACTTCTTGTTTTTATCTGCCATAGCATTGAGGTTAAAAAACGAGGCGCTAGTAGTACTGAAGCCAGCAGTAATGATGGGGATATGAAAAAACGTAATTTGGATTCTGAGCAATTAGACATCATGGATAGGAAATTGCAATCGATTGAGGACTTTATTATTGATGAGACCATTAAATATACCGGAGCTCATGAAGGTAAGTCTATTGCCGACGAAAGTCATTCAGTGGCTGTTTTCATACATACGGTTGTAGGAATTGCCGACCCAGATGAGATAAGGCGCCTCAAAGACCACGTGCTCTCTCGCCTGGCCACGGCATATAGTTTGGAGAAAATGCGTCGCGCTTTAGACAAATTGCGACAATCTGTGGAAGCTGAGAATCACTTACTGCGCAATGCAATCGAACCAGAAGATAATACCGAAAATGATCTGGAAAATCCTTTGTCGGCGAAGAAGGTTCGAACACCTTTACATGAAGTGGAAAATATGGGGTAATCTTCGAGTATTTAAAAATAATATAAAAGATATTTTTTAACATGTATACTCCGTATTGACAAAGTTACCATAATGAATGGATGGTAATGATTTTTAGCGTATACGTGTTTAGTAATGCTCTTTTTGTTTTTAATGTTGTGTTAGTCACAGAAATTTAAATGTTTTTATGTTTTTAATTTCGAAATTTGTTTAAATATTCAAAACAATAGTATATCAATTAAACGAATTGCCCATGAAGATACTAAAAAGTATTAGCGAAACGTTGGGCTAGGAAAAGAGAATAACTTAGTTTTATTCGCATCTTGAAACTCAGATCAGAAGAGCCTATTAGTATACATGTTAAATAAATCAAGAACTGATCGGAATATATGTACATACATAAACGATTTTTTATATTTTGTATTGCAGTTTCCCGACAGGCAATGATAGGACAAAGGAAATACACTCGAATGCCATGATGAGCACCAACTCTGCTGACGCAAATACCAAAAATGCCGAGCCTAACGAAAAGAACGATAGAAATCTTGAACAAGTAAAAAAACACAAGAAGAAGCGTAATGGCTATATGCGCTATCCAGAATTACCGAATGAATTCGCTGGAATGCAGGAGGATATCGTCGATGCTGGTCGCTATGAGCCGTTGAACGATGCGTATTTGGGAAATAAGAACTATATTATCGGCTCGAATAGGTGTCCCTTAATCGAATCGATGGCGGAACGCTGTCGAGGTATAGATATTCTAAGTGGAGATATAAATCAGGAGCTCTTGCCTATTTGTGGTATTCACCAGATTTGTTATTTATGTGTAAGTGGACACGCAATACATTTATTTAGAAGAAAACAAACATTGAGTAAAAAAAATTATTAAACATAACTGTTGCAGGGCACTACGCAAGTGGCTTGCGATTATCAATATTTGACAGAAGCGGATGCTATTTGTGGCAACAACAACGATTGTCAAGCAGCAGCACGTTCTATATTGATGATATTACGTGGAACACCAAGTCCACAGCTAGGTCCAAGAGAGTGTCTGAAGAATTCGTGTCTACACAGTGCCATGCGTGAAATCGGACTATAGATGCAACAACACTAAATAATATTTATCAAATTGACAGCTATTTATTCGCAAACTTTGTATGCAGTTCGCTTAAATTGTAAACCATAGACAGGAAAGTTAGTCACACATTTTTATGAGTGCTCGACTAGTAAATACGCATAGGTACATATGTATGTATGTATGTGCATTCATACATACATATATCAATGACGATTTCGTTAAGAATTCAGAGGAATCGTATGTCGGATATTTTATCAAAAATCTTAGCTAATTGTGTTTATAACCTTCATGATTTGGATGTATGCAATATATATGTATGTATGTACATACATATTTACAACCAATTTGTGGAAATAAAAATGGAATGTTTCCTATCTGGATCAAAAAAATTTTAAAGGATGTATGAATATAGGTACATGGGTATGTCATATATTCATTAAAAAATCTAAAAGATATGCATCTCTAATTACCATTTAGAAATTTTAAGAATAAAATAAATATTATGTTAAATGTGTAATATGAACTTAATAACAAATGTTATATATAAATAAATGTACATACATGTGTCTTAATACATACACACATATATATTAGGGCGGGCCAATTTGTATGGATCGATTTTTTTCGACATCGTTCCTAGCATATCCGGATTCTTCATAAAATTCTAAGAAAAAAATTCCTCCAGACCATAGCTCTAAAGTTAATTTTTTAATATTTTTGAGGGGAGATAAATTAAATTTTGCAATATGGATTGATACCCAGAAAGCTTACTACTGAAAATATTTTTGAGTCGGGTTACAAAGTAAAGAGAACCAAAGCCGAAGTTTTAGCCGAAGCTGTTCATACAAATGTTCCACAATTGAACTAACAAAAAAATATGGCCTACGACTCTGTTATAGAAGCTGTGGACACTGGAGTAAATTTTAAACAAAAAACAAAACCGACTTCAATTCTCATATACAAATTTAGGAGTACCGTTATTTTCTTCATGGCCCAATTATCGGATCTACACTCAATTAGTAGCAGACCACCTCTGAGGAACCACCTTTCCTTTAAAAAAGAATTATAGAAAACGGGTAACGTAGTTCAAAGTTATGCGGTAACATAGTACATAAAAAAAAATATTCCGACAAATTGATAAAATATGCAGATTAATATTTAATAAAGTGTTACGGATGTTTTTTTTTTTAATACAAACCTGTGCTTGGGAGTTTATTGATACAAAAAATTAGTTTCTGTTATCTATTTTTTGTTTAAAGCACCGCAAGATTGCACTACAAAGCAAATTACATTTTTTTTTACTATTGTAACAGGAGAAGTTACTGTATATATTTTTTTATATGTACAGTGTCGAACAAAAGTTTAGGCACAGTGAATTTTCCCATTATATATATGCAAAGTTTTTAATTTATTTCCGATAATTTTCTATAAAAACATAGTTCATACTACACCAAAACACATAAAAGTCAGGAAAATTCAATAAACCTGCATACTAATTTGCAATTTTATATTCAGATTTTCAAGCAACTTCCAACTTGCACTTTGATCAACTAAAATTGAATGGATTATTAAACTGCATGCTTGGAATTTTTCTAAATAATACTTTGCCTATATTGCGAAAAATTCACTGTGCCAATACTTTTGTTCGTTGCTGTAAGTAAATAAAACTTTAACTTTAAAAAACCAAAAAAAAAAATAAACGTTTACAATATTTCAAAATTATTTTTGGAATCATAAATTTTTTTTATGATTAACAATGTATTTATAGTTTGTTTTTTTTTTGGGTTTAGATCCTTTTTCCTTTCAGCACGAGGTATCTTTTTTCTACTTTCTATTTTCATAGCCATAACTCCCTCTCTATTTTTATCAATCAATTTTATATTTGTTTTCGGCATTTTTCTAATTACAAGTAGAGCTTTATAAAACTTTTATAACACCAAATGTTTATCAAGCTTAAGATTTTGTGTTATCCGGGCAGGCTTATTAATTTAACCAGAGAATATGTTTTCTTTATTAAGTTTACCCAGTTGCCCATTTTGAACTGCTACCTGTACTGTATCAGCGGTTAAAACTTGTTAAATTTTTATTTGAAATTTTCGGTAAGGAATAAGCGAGCGGATGAAAAATATATAACAGTAAGAACGGCCCATATACATATGCGACGACTCTAGCCATTGTGTGTCACTCCTTTAAATTATAGTTTTTTTTTTTCTTATTGTATTAAAAGAATAACGTTCGTAACACTTTAGTAAATAANGAAATTTTCGGTAAGGAATAAGCGAGCGGATGAAAAATATATAACAGTAAGAACGGCCCATATACATATGCGACGACTCTAGCCATTGTGTGTCACTCCTTTAAATTATAGTTTTTTTTTTTTCTTATTGTATTAAAAGAATAACGTTCGTAACACTTTAGTAAATAATAATCCATATATTAACTTAGTATATATTAAAGACTAGAAGATGACCCGGTGAACTTCATATCATCTATAATTTATTCGAATTTCACTTTGATCAATTCTGTGTTCGTATGGAAAAGTAGCTTATGTCGAAAGGTTGGCTTTAGTATAATGCGGCAATCCCTTTATTTTTTAAACGGCAAGGAATTTTTTGATGAGGCTTAATAAGAATATTGACTTGCTAGTATCGGAACTATTTCTTCCACGTTTATTTGCCAAAAGTTGTTCAACAGCTTAGCGCCAGTGAGTCATTCGCAATCGTATGCTGCGAATGCCGATTTATACTANACCGCCAGTGAGTCATTCGCAATCGTATGCTGCGAATGCCGATTTATACTAAAGCCAGCCTTTCGACATAAGCTACTTTTCCATATGAACACAGAATTATAAAAAATCTTCAAAATGCAATTCAATGAGATCACTAATACTGCCTGCTGTTA